CCCTGGGACTTCATCCACTGTAAGGTGGAGTGATCTGAGAAGATCTTGAAGTGTCTTCCCAGGAGAAAGTGCTTCCAATGTTTCAAGGCACAGACCCTGTCTCTTATACACATCTAGATGTGTATAAGAGACAGGGTTTCCCTTCTGAGCTGCTTCATATCGTAGGAAAACTGACTTTGCTGTCTTGAGAAGTTCCCTTCTGTAGAACCATCTGCTCTCAGAAGGAGGCTGGAATGCAAACCTCACAAGATACTGCCGATCGGGGCTTGTGCCCCACTCATCCTCAATCCATTCCACGCCGTATCCCTGTCTCTTATACACATCTAGATGTGTATAAGAGACAGGAACATGTACATCACGGCAAGGCCCCTTCTTGAGGGCTCAATCCTCACATATCCCACATGAATCGAGACCCTAATGAGATTCCTGGCAACAATCCTCTTCCTGCCTGGCAGTTTTTTATTACCCTATGAAGCCAGGGGATTGAAGGTCCAGGCACCGAATCAGTGCCAAATTCGGCCCTTTTTGGCTTCCGTCTGTCAGATGAAGGCTTGTACAGTAGGTATAGATACAAGCTCTCCTTTCTGGTTGCTCTGTTGACTTGCCAGGGTTGCCCCCATTCACCCTTGACCTGTGCTTCTGAGCCCGCAGGATGGGGCATGTTTTGAAATCAGGAGTTCACAAAACAAAAACAAGGAGGTGGCAAAAGAAAACAGCAAGGTGACCGGAAAAAAATGGGTATTAAAAAAAAAGAAAAGAAAAGAAAAGAAAAAGGTGAAAATGATTGGAAGTTCAGGGTTGCATACCTGCTGGGCACTGACTGTTTTGCATCCTACCGGTAGGGCCGTCTGGTCGGTGGTCTCTAGAAGGCCTTCCGCTGATTCTTTTTCAATCTGAGTTCGGGGCTGTACTGTGCTTAAATCCGCTGAGAAACTTCAGTTTTGGTAAGGGTGTTGAGGGGGGGGGGGTTACGGGAGGGGTTATGGGGCTGTCTCTTATACACATCTAGATGTGTATAAGAGACAGGGAGATGCAGTTGCGCCTCTTTCATCAAGGCCTGCGGCCAGATTCAGATAGTGGACCGGTTTCCCCTTGGCATTTTCGGCCTCTATATCCAGCATGCATTGTTGGCGTCACGTTTATGTGCCCAGGGCCTAACCAACTCAGGGGCCGTGGGATTTCCGCATTTGCAGAGATCCGAGACCTCGGTGCACTCCAACCAACTGCCGTGCTGCAACTGTATGGACCCCACTTCGTGAAATGTTTGAACAAAGGGCTCTTGTTGGCCCGCCTTCACTTAGGGCGGGCACGAGGCTTGCTGGGGGCCTTAGCCCAGAACATGTACATCACGGCAAGGCCCCTTCTTGAGGGCTCAATC